TATCTCCTCTGCCTCTCCTTTCCCTCCCCTTTGCCGGAGACAGCCGCACTCTACCCTCATATCTGAGGCCCTGTCTGCACTAAGGTCATTTTCCAAACATTGCTCACCTCTGTTAGCAACACTGGGAAGGCTATAGAGAGGTCACCAGCTACCACCAGGGTTTTTAACACTGTGCCAAGTACCCATGATCAGGGCAGGTCTAATGGATACTGTTAAAAACAGCAGCAGCTAGTGGCCCCTTGACACTAGGATTTCCAAGGGCGCTAACACCAATAGAGCTGAGCTGGTGTTAGAAAAAAGTGCCAACTGTCCCTTCAGTATTCTCAGGGCCTGAGAAGTGCTGTAGGTACCGATGGAATGGCCACTCCTTCACCAAAAGCAATGATCTCCTGGGAAACCCACCCTGCACAGGAAAAGTAACCACACTTCAGCAAATGCTCCCTGGTTCTCCACTCCTGCAGCCCCTCCTTTAGAGCCAGAGCGTCCCAAAGGAAAACGTGGGGTTTTCTACAGTGACTGGAGCATATAGGCAGCTCTCCCATTGGGTGGCTGGGGGGGTCCTTTCTGCTTTTAGGGTGCGCCCTTCTGGCGCGCTTTGAGATCCTCTGGTGGAAGATGCAGAGTTAATCACTGAACAGGGTTACTATTTAACGCGCCTGATGTGGGAGGCGAAATGACTGACCCGAGCTAAAGAAATTCACCAGCTCCAGGCTAAGGGGCGGGGCAGTAAAGAAGCCTCCAGCGCAGGCAGGAAGCGGGAGGAGGCCCCCGCGACCTGGCCCGGGAGTTGTCGCTCCAGCTGGGCGTTCCGTGGTGGAACGTTGCAACACCGCGTTCCTACCCCAGCCCCCTGCAGAGCATGGCCGGGCGAAGGGAGGCCGATCTCGGCTCGCTGCTGGCGCAGGCCCGGGTGGCGTACCGAGGGGCCTTTGCAGGGGCGGACCCTGAGATCGCGGTGTCAGCCCCCGGCAGGGTGAACCTGATCGGAGAGCACACGGACTACAACCAGGGCTTCGTGCTGCCTATGGTAAGGGGGAGGGCAGAGGGGCTGGGCTTGGGAGGGCCCGCCGAAGCATTACTTGGGCTGTGGTCATGCCGCCCCCCCCTTCCCCCGCGAGTTGGGCGCAGTAAACCCAGGCACTTCGGTACCATCCCGTTCTTTCATAGAGGAGCGGGGGATCAAGTCCGCATTGTTGCGAGGGTCGGGAGCAGAATCCTCCACGTTGCTGTCTCTCTCCGTGTTTCTGCAGCCCCCTGGCTCGCGAGACGAACACTTGTCCCGCGTGTTTGTTACACGGGGCGTCACTGCAGAGAGAGCCACAAAATGAACCGCCCCTTCCCCCAGAACGGTGGTGGAATACAGAGCCCCCCTCCCGCCCCCTGAGAGAATCACAACACTCAGACTTGCTCCCAGTCCCAGCAAAACAATAACTAGCAAAACTATCACTACTGAATTCTTCCCGCTCCGCTACAGCCTTTATCAGCACGGTGCTGTACAAACGGTAACCAAGTCACTTGGCTCGGGATGTTGGATTGGATTACGTTGGAACTGGAAAAGGTTCAGAAAAGGGCAACAAAAATGATTAGGGGTCTGGAGCATCTGCCATATGAGGGGCGATTAATAAGACTGGAACTTCTCTGCTTGGAAAAGAGATGGCTAAGGGGGGGAGGTATTATAGAGGTCTGTGAAATCATGACTGGTGTGGAGAAAATAAATAAGTGTTATTTATACTCATAACACAAGAACTGGGGGGTCACCAAATGAAATTAATAGGCAGCAGGTTTAAAACAAACAAAAGGAAGTATTTTAATCACACAACGCACAGTCAACCTGTAGAACTCCTTGCCAGAGAATGTTGTGAAGGCCAAGATTATAACGGGGTTCAAAAAAGAACTAGATAAGTTCATTGAGGCTAGGTCCATCAATGGCTGTTAGCCAGGATGGGTAGGGATGGTGGCCCTAGCCTCTGTTTGCCAGAAGCTGGGAAAAGGCGACAGGGGCTGGATCACTTGACGATTACCTGTTCTGTTCATTCCCTCTGGGGCACCTTGCATTGGCCACTGTCGGATAGGGTGACCAGATGGCAACTGTGAAAAATCGGGACGGGGATGTGGGGTAATAAGTGCCTATATAAGACAAAGCCCCAAATATCAGGACTGTCCCTGTAAAATTGGGACATCTGGTCACCCTACTGTCAGAAGACAGGATACTGGGCTAGTGGCCCTTTGGTCTGACCCAGTACAGCCGTTCTTCTGGATAAAAATCAGGCCAATAAGTCCCCCAGTTTAGTAAACTGTTAAGATTTCCCCATCACCGTGTAATGGTTTTTGGCCTAGCTGTGGCTATCCAGTGGCAATACTGCCAGACATGCAGTATTGGGTGTGTTCGGAAGCACATCTTAGCAGCCTCTTGGCCTGGGCTTGGATTAACTTCCCCAAATGAGAATTCTAGGTCACAGGGTAACTCGTTGGAGAAGGTAGGAACCATTCTCATCTTCCTGCCATTCCAGGAAACGAACAAGTGTCAGACAGCGGACTTAGAGCACCACCGTGTGGGCACAGTACTAGGAAAAACAGCTTTAGGCCAAGATTTCCAACCGTGGATGGCTCATCAATCCTTTTTTCTGGCATCTAAATAAATGGCCTAATTTCCAAAGGTGCAGAGTGCCCTTCGACTTCCTGCACTCAGCAGGGCTTTTGAAAATCGTGCCACTTATTTAGGTGCTTAAATATGGATTTGGGAGCCTGTCTTTTGACAATCGTGGGCCTGGCCTGTAATTACAACTCCATCTCCTTCAGAGCTGCAGTCTTGCCGCTGAACATGGCAGGTAACATGGTCCTGGGTAAATGAGATTACAGATGGGTTGTACTGCCCTTCCCCTATTCCCAAAGTAGGTCCTGAAGCAACCACTGGGCAATTAAACTGCTTCATTCTCCTTCTTTTCTTTACTCACTCTATAGTTTCTGCCTCTCGAACTTTTAATTTGCAAACACGTGTTGATGCAGACAGAGTTTTCTGCCCCTTCTGACTGCCTGGGGCAAATCCTGACTCCAGTAACTTGAGCTCTGACTAGGACTTTGTTTGGCAGTGGTAACATTTGGAAAGCCTAGGAGAAAAAGCTAGTGTGATGCCCTCACTTTCCATAGAGCCTGGGCTGTGAGGATGGCATTTGTGATGCGATGACCTGTCCACTAGCAGCCAGGCGGAAGCCATGATACTGGTTTCCTACAGGCCACCAAAGAGCTAGCACAGCACAGTAATGCCTTTGGGTCTCCTGCTCTTGGATAGGGAAATCAGTGTTTTTTTTAATTTATTCAAGGCTGCTTTTCATGTGAACAAACTGGCCCAGGGAATAAAATCCTGACTGGGAGGCAATTCTAAGAGCATCATCTCTACACACATGTATAATTCTGCCACTGTGTATAGGAAAGCTGGTGTCTCTCTGGGGGCAGCGTTAAGGTTGTTTGGGTATCTTAGTTGCAGGACATGGCAGCCAGGCCATCGCCGTCCTTGTGATAAGAGGCACAAAGTAGCAACTGGTTCATAGAGAGTGGGAAATTCCTGCTCCTTGGGGCTCCAGCCTGCTCCCTGTGGCCAGTTTCCTAGTGGGAGGAGGATCCCAGCCTTAATGCCAAGACCCTCCGATATCCCTGCACTGTCAGTTGCACTGGTTTTCCGGAAGCAGGACGTGTTGCAGGTTTCCCTCATTTCCTTTTGCACTGGGTGGGGTTCAGCCAACGTCTCTCTCTCTGCAGGCCCTGCAGCTGGGCACCGTGATGGTC